GAACATTTTTATCCATAAGAATCTTACACGTGGACACGTGGATGAATTTTTTTATTTAATGTGTACTTTTGCTGAATCATCATGAATGTGATTATAATCTTGTTCTCAATTAAATTGAATACTAAAATGTTGAATTTAATTCAGAACAAGATTATTACCAATCTATTATTATTAATGAGCAAAAAAACCTAATTCTCTCCCACCTCTCTCCTCTATCAAACTAAAAGCCGCCGTCTTGTTCTCGGCCAACGTCCGGTGGCTTTACAGCCCCGGCGTTGTGCCGCGTGTGTGTTTTTAGTTGTTTTTTCTTCTTTCTTTAGTTTCGTTCTCATCGGCTTTGTAGTTTTCGAGTGGTTTTGGCTTCTCTCGACGAGATCGGAGGCGGAGTTACTCTGGTTCAAGGTGTAGTTCCGTTAAAGCTTTCGGAGTTTCAGTTGTCTTGCTCGATCTACCTCTTGTGTTAGGTTCCGTTTCGCCTTGGATTCGTTTTCTATTGTTGTTTTGTCGGAGTCTCGCTCTACCATTGAAGATCTTGATCTGGTCCGTCGCGGTGGTCGATGGTGCTTGTCGGAGTGGGTTCTTATATGGGGATGGTGATGTTGATTTCTAGACTGGTAATTGATTTCAATCTCTTCAAGTCAAGCTTGTTTGGTTTATCCCCGGTTTGCTTGATGGTGGCCTTAGTTATTGTTCGTGTCTTAGTTTGTGGGTTAGTTGCTCTGGATAGCGGTTTCTCCTCCTGATTGTTTTTGAATTCTCAGAGTTTTACTTTTGTGGAGTTTTTGTCTGTTCTGTGGTTGGATCTTGTTTGAGTGAAGTTTCGGTTCTGGCCATTGTTCCTCTGCCTTGGTGTTGTGTTTTGTATCGAATGTCCTGGAAAATCTCTCGTGTGGTGAGACGGACTCGATGCCTTTTGCCATTAGCTCTTTGCTCATCTTCCTTGGCTGGTTCTTCTGTCTCATCAAGATTTGCTTCGTTTGGAGTTCGTGGGTCGCTATTTTGCCATCATATGCGGTATCTCTTCCACTTGAGTTTATCGTCTTCTCGGGGTTGGTTTGGAACGTTTAATACTACCCAAAGCTCTATCAATTCTTTCAGCAGAGAGAGGAGCTATTCATGGGTTTTGATTCGGTTCCTCTCCACAAGACAAATAAGGCATTTGTGCGTCGATCCCTTAGCTTCAGGTTCAGGCCTTTTCCTTTGAGATTCTTGTGTTTTCTAGTTAATTCAATCTTTGGAGGTTTATCGATTAGTTTTCTAAGTTTAGCTTATGGTCTTGTATTTTGTTGTTTGTTAGCTTCCCTCTTTTGGGCTTTTGGCTTCGGGGATATCACTATTTTCCGCCGACTCATCTTATCGGGGATATTAACTCTTTCCGCCGATCTTTGTATCTTTCGAAGGTTTAATATGATTATTCAGACGAAAAAAAAAAAAAACCAATCTATTATTAACTTTGGTTATTTAAGAAAACGAATCTATTATTACCAAACAAAAACATATTGGACCGGACTGTTCAGTCAAGACCAAGTTACTGAACGACACTTCAAGATTCGGACACACTAAAAAAGTAAAAAATGTGCATTCGTTCATAAAAAAAATACGGTTTCTTTTCCTTAATACTAAAGCAACAGTTGGATATGAGCCACGTGTATTCAGCAGCATTCGCCGCGAAACAGCTCATAACGTCGATTCTTTTGTCTTCTTGTTTGCTCTACTTACACTTTCTTTCGAGAAAAAACAGAGTTGAATCATTTTCGTTCAGTCAAACAACAAGCCTCTTATCTGAGAAGTGAATCTATAGGTATACGAGACTGCCGTGAGATGATAGTTGCGAGAACAACTTTACGAGCTCTGCTTGTCTGCGGCGGAGGAAACTGTAACATGTTCGTGAGTTCTGTTTCCGCCGCCTCCGTTATGAAAAGTCCGTATGAGAGAACGAAACCGATGCGAATTCATGATTGGTGCGGCCGTTTTGGTGATTTTAAGATTGGTTCTAAGCATGTGCAAGGTGTGCATATTTATAGATGATCCTCATACAACCTTATCAAAATTGTACACGATCTAAAACATAACAAAATTTAACACATAATTAGGATTCATATATTTCTAAATTTTGAATAGGAGATTTCAAATTGAGGTGGAGGAGGATGAGTTCTGCATCAGCGACGGAGAATAAAGATGAAAATTCGACGGTGAAGAAGGATCAAAATGGCGGTGGATCGGTGGCGGTTCCAAGTTATTGGGGAATAGAGACAGCAAAGATGAAAATTACTCGGAAAGATGGATCGGATTGGCCTTGGAACTGTTTTATGGTAAATTTATATACATCCCAAATTTCGTAGACAAATTAAGCACTTTTATATGTATATATATGAATTAATAGTTATGTATATTTTGAACAGCCATGGGAGACTTATCAAGCAAATTTGTCGATAGATTTGAAGAAGCACCACGTTCCGAACCGACAAAATCGCTTACCGGATAGTCAAGCTCCTCCGTATTCCCACAGATATATTTTTCCAGGCATGACCCTCGTATAATATTTCAAATTTTAAAAATGAATCCTTTTTCATTTAATCTATTTTATTGGTTGATTTGGTTGATTCGGTATGGTTTGGTTTGTAATTTTGCATGCACATATGATCCTACCATAATTTACATATGTACGTTTGTATGGATTCTGTTTCACTTCACATTCTAATGTTTTACATTTGTTTTTCATTAACTATATGTTGGTCAGCAGAGACGATATGGATGCAGAGCAATGATATGCTAGAGACAGTAGCCGCAGTACCAGGAATGGTCGGAGGAATGCTTCTCCACCTAAAATCAATCCGGAAATTCGAACATAGTGGCGGTTGGATCAAAGCATTACTAGAAGAAGCAGAGAACGAGAGGATGCATCTAATGACGATGATGGAGTTAGTCAAACCCAAATGGTACGAGCGTCTTCTAGTGATGCTTGTTCAAGGAATATTCTTCAACTCTTTTCTCGTTTGTTACGTGATGTCGCCGCGGTTAGCTCATCGGGTCGTTGGATATTTAGAATAAGAAGCTATACATTCTTACACCGAGTTTCTTAAAGATATCGACGATGGGAAGATCGAGAATGTTGCCGCGCCCGCGATTGCTATTGATTATTGGAGATTGCCTAAAGATGCTACGTTGGAAAGATGTCGTCACAGTGATTCGTGCTGATGAAGCTCATCATCGAGATGTCAACCATTTTGCTTCTGTAAGTCTAAAACACAACCCTTTTTCATACAACTTTGAAATTTTTACAAAACTCCCGAGTTTCATATTAAAAACAGATGATATAAGTAGTATAATCAACCACATTTGGTGTGTGGATACATACAAGTTCATAGTTTTTATTATAATCAATGAATTTAAAAAATCTGTGGATTTGTTATCTTGTGTCGTGTTTGTGAATTGTTAATATCTACTTAACATTTTTGAAGTACAAATTTGCTCTTTCCAATCGGGTCGGATTTTTTGTGATTTTGACCCGGAAATCTTCAATCGGATCTTTCCTTATTTTTTGGCAAAATTCAAAAACGAAATTAATTAATAAATTCTAAAAATATATATTTTCTCAACTAATTACTACACCCAAACTCTTTATTTATGACATATTCTTTCTGATATTTATATATAAGGAAACCAAATATGATGATTTAATGCTAATATAACAAATTTGAGCTAATTTCCTAAAACTTCTCTACCTAATTTAAACAAAAATATATGATTCTCATTTCACTTTTATTTGATTTATATTTATATTATTTTTAATTATTAGAAAATATATATAGTTAATAAAATTTTAGATTTTTTTCTACATATGCTATGTTTCAAATTTTTTAAAACGGACATATATTACTCAATCAATAAAGAAAAAAATATGTGTACAATCTAAAGTACATATTTGCTCTTTTTTTGGGTCAGTTTTGTTTTTTTTTTTTTTTAATTTTGACCCGGATTTTGACCCTCAATTAAGTCTTTTGGATACAAATAATGAGACTTTCCAAAAAAAATCCTAGCAATTTATATGATTGATTTCGTATATATATGTAGTTATTACTAAATATATATCTATATATACATTTTTGAATGACTTTTAGCAAATAAATCCTGGAGTTGGACCTTATTTACGGATGTATGCCATTGGCATTAATTATTTAAATTTGAAAAATATTACTTAAAGATATTACCAATACGATTTCGAGAATCATAAATTCATATCTTCCTTAATTTTCTGAGTCATTAATGTGATAATTTTTAGGAAATATTTCTCTGTAAAAAAAAAAAAATCCACATTAATGAAGGCATTAAAATCGACACTAACAATTAAATTATTTAGATGTTCAATTATTTTAAGATTCTTATATCTTATTTGATATTTTTTTTTAATATCTCATTCTTTAATTACTGCGTTTAGAATTTATTGGTTGTTACCTATTTTTTGGTGAAATTTATTGGTTGTTACTTAATAAGTAATTATGGTGCGTTTATTTTAGTTAATATCTAATTTAAAGGATTTGTTTTCTTTTATTATTAATAAATGAATAACATGTATAGAAATAAAAGATTTTTTTGCGACTCCATAATAAAAATATTAAAACTCTTATTTTCTACATTTCTTACACATAATATCCTCTTATTCAATAACAAAAAATATATATTACATATTTTTAAAAATATTTATAATATTTAAATTATATAAAAAATTTGTAATATTAATATTATTTCAACTCTATACAAATTTAATATATATGTATATATATCTTATGGGAACCATTTAAAAGAAATTTTTAAATTGACTTGAATTATATAGCTTTTAAATAAAAGTATTATTAAAAAGAAAAATAACTAAATAATGTTTAATTTCACGGGACGGGTAATATGATGGGACGGGTTTGGGTTGATATTTATAAAAGATCGTATACCACGGGTGAAATCCTAAAATTAACAATCAAAATAATCTATCAAACAAATTACATTTTGATTTTTTTAAGAAAATATAGCCCCGCGGTGTACCGCGGGTTAAAATCTAGTCTACTTAACATTTTTGAATTACATTTTTGCTCTCTCATCGGGTCGGATTTTTTTTCTGATTTTGATCCGGAAATCTTCAATCGGATCTTTCCTTAAATTTTGGCAAAATTCAAAAACGAAATTAATTAATAAAATCTAAAATATATATATTTATCAACTAATTATTATATCTAAACTCTTAATTTATGGTATATTCTTTACGATTTTTATAGATAAGGAAATCAAATATGATGATTTAATGCTAATATAACAAAATTTGAGCGAATTTCCTAAAATCTCTCTAATTAGTTTAAACATAAATATATGATTCTCATTTCACTTTTATTTGATGTTATATTTAAATTATTTTGAATTATTATAATATATACATATAGTAAATTTTGGTTTTTTCAGCATATGTTATAATTCAAATTATTTTTAAACAGACATATATTACTCAGTTGATGAAGAAAAAAAAGTATGTGTGCAATTTATATTAACATTTTGAAAAACAAATTGCGCAATTAATCATGTCGTTTTTTTTTTTTTATTCTGACCCAAAATTGAGTCATTCGGATCTTTTCTTAATTTCTACAATTATCTAAAATGGTTGAATATACCACAGGTGAAATCCTAAAATTAACAAATCAAAATACAATTGTAAATTATTTTTACGGGTTGGTCCAAAAACACTTAATTTAAAATATATATATATAATTATATCTATATATACATTTTTGGATGACTTTTAGCAAATAAATCCTGGAGTTGAAATGTATTTACAAACAATGCCATTGGAGTTAATTCTTAAGATTTAAAAAAATTAATTAAAGATATTATTCTAAAGATCGTTCCTCAAATCTCCTCCAACTAATTACTTTAAAAATCTCGATAATAACTATTCCGTGATTTACTGTAATCTTCAAATATATTTGGTATGATTTCTCATAATTAAAGATCCATCATTAATTGCAATAATAAATAAAAACAATAATTTCCTTTTATTTTAAAAACTTTCTAACGACAAATGTATTGCAAAATAAATAATTTCCTAAAACAATTACAGAACCTAATAACTGTTGTAGACTTTTTAGGAAAATAATTACGTAAATATATAACTTAAAGATAACAATTACTCATCAAATCTTTTTTTTTTGTTAATATTGTATCATAACAAGACCTAAATCAATGAACTACTTATTCTCTATATATAAGTGAGGTTATTTAGTCATCAAATCAATGTGCATGGTTCCACTCTCGCCGTCCCTCAGCTCTGCAAATCATTTGCTTCATTTTCTACATGTCTTGGACTAAGGTTCTTCCTATTCTTCTTTGATTTGAATCACTTACATCTCCTTTTTTTTTGATAAATCACTCACTTTCATCTTTCTATGGCTTTATGTTTGATAGCCTCACGTTGAATTGAGGAGCTTCCCAGTGTATTCGGAAACTGGTCCTTCTACGTTACCTTAATCTACATGTTTTTGTGTTTGGACAAATGAGGAAATGATTCTGATTTTTATTGTTTTGGTATATTGGTTCATGTTTGAGTGTGAAAATATTTGCAGGGTTAACCATAATCCGTTGTAGCTTCTTAATATTGATTTGGAGATGCTCTTAGTATTGATTTGAAAATTTTCTTTGGTTTGTTTACTAAAAAATATTTAGTGGTTTACCATCAAATGAAAAAATCATGTGATAAAATAACCTTTATAGATTAATCTATATTTATCAATTTTTTGAGTAAATCATTTTCTAAATATATTTATTTTAATGTAGATTAGTTAAATTATGGTTACTATTCGTTATTTGACAAACTCATTTGGCTATATTACTTATTTTAAACCAAACTCATTTTGGCAATAAATAATGTTTATTTATAAATTAGATTAACCCCCAAAAAATTATTACCAAATATATAAAGATTATTTATGTCTAAAGAATAATATGTTGCTTTAGATTATTATTATTTATAAGGTTTCAAATATTATAAATATTTGAACCTTATAAGAAGTATAAATTAATAATATTTAAAGTATCTATAATATTTAATTCCATAAAAAGTTTATAATATTAATAATATTTGAACACTATAAAAATTATAAATATTTATACTATGGAACCACTTAAAAGCAAACTTTTAAATTGACTCGAATTATATGTTTTCTAAACAAATGTGTTATTAAAAAAAAAATGATGTTTAATTTCACGGGACGGGGTTATATGGTGGGACGGGTTTAGATCGATAATAATACCGGAAGATATACCACGGGTTAAAATCCTAGAAATAATAATCAAAATTCAATATATAATCTTAAACACTAAACAAAACAAATAATATTAACAAAATAATTACAACTTAAAATTTAAAACTTTTTAGTTAAAAAGTCGACCCGCGGTGTACCGCGGGTTAAAATCTAGTATATTATGAAAACCATTTGAAAGCAAACTTTTAAATTGATTCGAATTATATGTCTTTTAAATAAAAGTGTTATTAAAAAAATTACAAAATGATGTTTAATTTCACAGGACGGAATTATATGGTGGGATGGGTTTGGGTCGATATTAATATGGGACAATATACCACGGGTGAAATCCTAGAATTAACAAATCAAAATACAATTATACAATCTTAAACACTAAACAAAATAAATACAACTTAAAATTTTTATTTTTTAGATACAACGCATATGATCCGCGGTATACAACAGAAAATATTATACACAGCAAATTCATTAGTTTATAAAAAGAATTAAAAAAAATCAAATAATTAACCCGCGGTGTACCGCGGGTCATATCCTAGTTGTGAATTATATTTGCAGGACATTCGCAATCAAGGAAAAGAGTTGCGAGAAGCAGGAGCTCCGATTGGTTATCACTAACCAATTTCAAAGAGTCTTCTATCTACTTGGAGTTTTCTTATGATTTTGGATATGTATTTGTTTGAATGTACTAAAACAAGTTTTAATGGTGTTAGAGATAGGAGTACCGGTGTATGTAAATGTTAGAATTGCTTAGGTAAAATGTTTCAGCTTATAAAAAATTGTGTCTCAACCGTCCCAATCGCTTAATTACACTAGTCGCTGCTGAACCGGTACAAACCAAAGTCGGTACTATCTGGTTCGATTTTTTATTTTTTCGTAAAAGGGTATAAATGTAATTAACAACAACGTCGTATAGGGGCAGATAAAAAAACTCCCCGTATTTAGTAGATTCCATTGTTTCATAGACCTAATTTCACTTCCTCTGCTCTCTCTCCCAGTCTCTCCGCCGGCGGGAAAACTATGTCGCACTTCGGAAGGTCAGGTCCACCGGATATCAGCGACACCTACTCGCTTCTCGTCCTTAACATAACCTTCCGTAAACTCTCAATCCCTTTTCTAAACCTCGTTTCAATATTTGTGAACTGGGTTTCTAAGAGATTAGGGTTTGTTCTTATGTGTAGGTACGACTGCTGATGATCTCTATCCTCTATTCGCAAAGTATGGAAAGGTCGTTGATGTCTTTATTCCCAGAGATCGAAGGTCCAATTTCTTCTTCTTCTTCTCCGACTGAGAAATTAGGGTTTCTTAATTTCTGTTATTGATTCTTGTGTCGATTTTTAGGACTGGTGATTCGCGTGGTTTTGCGTTTGTTCGGTATAAGTATAAAGATGAAGCTCACAAAGCAGTGGAAAGGCTTGATGGTAAGATTCATCCACTATTATTGGTTTTGTTATATGTGTTTATGCTTTTGGTGCTTGGATTTGACATGAAGTTTCTGTCTCTGTTTCAGGAAGAGTTGTCGATGGCCGAGAAATAACTGTTCAGTTTGCGAAATATGGGCCAAATGCTGAAAAGATG